GAAAGTGTGAGCTGGTTATCAGTAGGTTTGCACACAGATTAAAGTGCTGGACTTTGCACAGATCACCTTTACACTCATCTACATGTTACTGCGGCAAAATTACACAACATCGTGAAGCAGATTAATAATCTCATATGTCATTATATGACTCATATGAAGATAAATGAGCAAGCGTGAACTTGCACACAAATATGGATCCCTAGTTCGAGAACAGCAATGCAAACAGACTATAATTAACCAGGTCAAAGCTGAAGGAATAATGAAAGTGGTGTAGCAATCATTCAGATATGGCATTAGAAATGTCTTGATCTACCCGTCCATTTGATGAAGATAACCTGCTGGAACAGAACGGGTCGTTCTAGGTTGTTGCTGGTCCAAGATTATCAGGATGGTTAATTTTATTAAAAAAACAAATTAAAACTTAATCAAAAATTTGAAAGATTCAAGTAAAAATTAAAACATAACACCCCTCCCCCCCCAGTAACCAATAAAACAGTAAATTATGAGATAAAAGATAAAATTGTAATTTTATTATAATTATTATAAAGTCATATCTATGGTATTAAAAGTCATAATTATGAGATTAAAAAAGTCTGAATTATGTGATAAAAGGTCGATTAAAACAACATTTCTGAGAAAATTAAAAATCATGAGATAAAAAGGTCATATTTATGGCATTAAAAATCATAAATAAGAAATAAAATGAATAATTATGAGATGAGGTCATAATTATGAGATAAAATAGTAAATTATGTGATAAAAAAGTTTCACAATGTCATAAAAAATGTCATAATTATGACAAAATTATAAGATTAAAAAGTCAAAATATGATAAAAAAGTAGATTACAACATTTGAAATTAATACTTTTAATTTTTAGACGCCTTTAAAGTCAATTAAGGTCACAGTACATCATAAAAGGAAAGCAATAAAATACAAAACAATGCAAAGCTACAAAACAGACAGACATACAAATCAATCAGTCATATCACTAAAAGCTATTCTAAACAAATACGTTTTAATCTGATCTTTAAAAAGGGAAATGGAGTTCAGCTGGTGGATATGCAGTGGTAAAGAGTTCCATAATTTTGGCGCAGCACAACTAAAAGCCCTACCACCAAAGGAACTCAACTTAAAATGTGGAACTCTCAGTAAGTCTGCAGAGAATGATCTCAAAGAACGTGTAGGAGTGTACAATTGAAGAAGATTTGAGAGATAAAAAGGTGCCAGATTATGAAGTGCTTTATAAGTAAGCAGCAACATTTTATATTGTATGCAATAACAGGCAGGAAGCCAGTGTAGCTGGGAAATTATGAGATAAAAAATCAAAATGAGGCCAAAAATGCTACTTATGGCAGTGAAAGTCATAATTATGAGGTAAAAATTCATAATTATGAGATATAAAGTCATAATTGACAAAACATTGACATTATGAGATAAAAAGTCAAAATTGTTATAAAAAGTTGATAACATTTGAAATTATGAGATAAAAAAAATCTAAATTATTGAGAAAAGGTAATATTATAAGATTAAAATGTCATATTTATGGCAGTGAAAGTCATAATTATGAGATCAAAATTCATAATTATCAGATATAAAGTCATAGTTGACAAAATGTTTAAATTATGAGATAAAAATACAAAAAGACAAAATTATGAGATTAAAAAGTCATATGGCATTAAAAGTCATGATTATGAGATAAATGTCATAATTATGTCAAATTTATATGAATAAAAAGTCGAAATAATATGATAAAAATATATTTTAACATTTGAAATTCTGAGATAAATCTAAATTATGCAGAAAAGGTAAAATTATAAGATTAAAAAGTCATTTATGGCATTGAAAGTCAGAATTATGAGATAAAAAGTCATAATTATCAGATATAAAGTCATAATTGACAAAATGTTGAAATTATGAGATAAAAAGTCAAAATTATGTTATAAAAAATTTATGTTGATGTTGAAATTATGAGATAAAAATACAAAAAGACAAAATTATGAGATTAAAAAGTCATATGGCATTAAAAGTCATGATTATGAGATAACTGTCATAATTATGACAAATTTATATGAATAAAAAGTCAAAATAATATGATAAAAATAGATTATAACATTTGAAATTCTGAGATAAAAAAATCTAAATTATGCAGAAAATTATGCTGAAAATTGTTGAAATTATAAGATAAAAAGACAAAATTATGAGATTAAAAAGTCATATGGCATTAAGTCATAACTATGAGATAAAAATCATAATTATGATACAGTCATAATTATGACAAAAAGTTGGAATTATGAGACATTTTTTAGCCTTGTCATAATTGAATCAGAAACTCTGGATGAAGTAGTATGAGGGACCTTCACACATTGTTATATAGGTTGAGAAGCACTGATGTAAAGCAGCTCATGATCATAAATGTCCAGCTAGAGACCATGTAAAGCCCACTGTCTTTGAGCTGATTTCCATCAGTAAGAGCCGTAGAGCCCTGCTGAGAGTGGGATCAGGGTTCAGAGCTCCTCTGTTTCCTCAGCTGGCGGTTCCTGACGTCACAGAGGCCTCAAGCGGAGCCGACTTCCTGATCTTCGTCATTCCTCATCAGTTTATTGGGAAAATCTGTGACCAGATGAAACCTCACGTCAAACCTGGAGCCATCGGGATCTCCCTCATTAAAGTATGAATTTATTCTTTAATATTTTGAAATTTGAGTGGATTTCATGGTACTAGTATTTTTTAGTCCATTCTCTTTGTGTGTGTGTGTGTGTTTAGGGTATCGATGAGGGTCCGGATGGGCTGACCCTGATCTCTAACATCATCAGGTCCAAGCTGGAGATCGAGGTCAGTGTGCTGATGGGCGCCAACATCGCCAGCGAGGTGGCCGAGGAGAAGTTCTGCGAGACCACCATCGGTGTGTGTGACATCACTTCCTGTGAGAAACCTGCAGAGCGCTTGACCTCGTGTGTTTATGACTGTGTGTGTGTGTTTCAGGAGCCACTAATGAATCCAACGGCAAGGTCTTCAAAGAGCTTCTGCAGACGCCGAACTTCCGCATCACTGTGGTGAAGGAGAGCGACACGGTGGAGCTGTGTGGAGCGCTGAAGGTACCGGAGACACACAATCATCTAGAAGTCATCTTTAATGGACGCAACCGCCGCGTGGCCGAGGCCTTCGCCCGCTCGCAGAAGGTCCGACTCAAACGCCTGCATCCCAAACAGATTTATTTTGACCTGTGACGCAGCTCATCACTGTGCAGTTTAATGTGTGCATCATCTGTTATTAACCCTCAGACTCAATCTTTCTGCTGGTCAAAATGACCCAGAGCATTACGATTGCACATCTTCCTTTTTTTATGTCCAGATATCTTATATCATTCAATTAGAATAAAATATAACCATTATTATTTATGCAGCTTTGACGATGTTTTACAAACTATTTTTAGTACCTCTAAACTACTAGTTTTAACCAATATTTGTATTATAAAATTAGCATACATAATTTCTGTTTTTCATCAGTCAATAGCGGAGCTGGAAGCTGAGATGTTGAACGGTCAGAAGCTCCAGGGTCCTCAGACGTCTGCAGAGGTTTACAAGATCCTCCAGAAGAAGAGCATGGTGGACAAGTGAGTCCGAGTGACGTCATCACCGCATCATCATCAGTGTGTGTGTGTGTGTGTGTGTGTGAGAGAGTGTGTGTGTGTGTGTATTAATGTGTGTGTGTGAGTGTATTAATGCTCGCGCTTTTGTGACAAATGAGGGCATAAATGTGTATAATGACAAAGGTGTGACAGGTATTACAAGGAGATATCAGATCTGTTTTGAGGGCCGGCAGGTGAAGGAGTTCATCAGCTGCCTTCAGAACCATCCAGAACACATGTGAGCGACCCGATCCGATCCGATCCGATCCACACACTACTGAGCTTCATTCACACCTCACGGCCAACAAAAGATGACTCATGAGTCCAGTATGATGAGTAGTGTTTGTGTATTTCTGACTCAGGACTGTAACGCTGGTAAACGCACATGTGCAGCATTTTATATTTGCAGTTTTGACTACAATTGTCTTATAGAGAAGTATTAAATGTAATGCTTTATAACACAATCAATAAAAGCCATGCTGCTTGTTTTAATCATTTTAATCAGACTTTGAGCTTCATTTATTCTTACAGCAGTCAACATAAACACAAAATAAGACTTATTTTTCTTCATGAGCCACAAAAGCCACTTTGGATAAAAGCGTTTGCTAAATGACTAAATGTAAATGTAAAACAATCAATCTCTAATTTAAATGTTTTTTACATACATACATAAAAAAAAAAGAATATTGTAATAAAAATAATTATTAATAATATTATAAGGATGATAATACATATATTTATAAAAGTATGAATATTATAATTAAAATAATACATTATAGAACTGATCAATTTGATATAAAATATTATATTTATAAAAAAATATGGGTATTATAACTACAATTATAACTATTTCTTTTTCCTTCTTTAACTTTTTCTTTTTTTTTATGAAAAATCTCTCATTTCAGTGTTTAAATTATTTAAAGACATGAGTTATTAATAGTTTTACCAAGTAACCAAATAAGCACAGTTTCGTGCATAAAGATTACATCTCTTCCTTGTTTTTTTTTTTTAGTTTTTTTTGATCCAGAAACCTTGTATCATTTAATTCTAATAATTAAATAATAATAATAAATGGAGATAATGGAATGGAAATAAATGCAAAAAAAACATGCGTAAAAGCCGTAAGACTTATTTTTCTTTATTAGCTACATAAAACACTGAATCTCTAATAGACTTAACACATTTTTATGATTTAATAATTGCAATAGTTTTTATATTAAACGTATTTATATAAAGTTTACATTTAATATTTAAATTTATTTTTTAATTTATATGTTGCATTTTAATGTATTAAATACAGTGGATCTCTAATTTCGATGTTTAATTATATTCTTGCTTGGAAAAATATTGATCACAGTATTGACATTTTTGTCCAATCAAATGCTCTCTTGAATGAGAATGCTCCTCCCCCTAAAGTATAAATATTAAAGCAGTATCAACCTTATTTCCAATAATATCAATTTGCAATGGTTATTGTAAAGGTGTGTTCTTTGCTTTTGTTATGGGTTTGAGCTGTGAGGGGAACTAAAGAAAATCAATGCATATTCAGTAAGATATTCCTGCTCCAGTGTCTCAGACAGATCAGATGCGGTCGGATGAGATGGTGGGGTAAATCGCGAAGCTGGAGATTCCACACATGTTTTTATTTCGTGCCATGAGCATAAAGCCATTTTCACCCCATGCTGTTCCCCAGCTGAGACAGACAGAAATCATCAATCATCATTTCATATTTTCAACACTAGAGGTCATTAGACCTCACACTGAAATACAGCAACTTACAGCTACTGAAGCTGTATAAATAAATATAAAACAGTATATTTATGAAAATATGAATATTATAATAAAATAATTGTAAAACATATTTTAAAAAAATGTTTCATATTAAATATTGTATTTGCCTATAAAATATGCATATTATAACTAAAATAATAATAATATTATAACGTGTTATTAAGAAATACTGTTTATAAAATGATGAACCTTACAATTAAAACAATCATTAATGATAATGATAATAAATATAAAATATTTATATGTATACAAATATGTATTTATATAATTATAAAAATTTTATATAATATTAAAAATTTTAAATAAATGTATATTTATACAAATATTAATATTATAATTAAATAATTACTGATAATATTGCAGGAATAAGTATAAAAAAAGTTATTTTTTTTAGATTTCATAAAAAATATTAAATTACAATTAAAATAATAATTATTATAAGAATGACGATAAATATAAAATATTATATTATAGCAAATATAAATGCAATTAAAATAATTGTAAACAAATATAAAATATATTTATATTTCATAAAAATATGAATAATATAAAGTAATTATTACAAATATTATAAAAAAATATAACACGTTATAATATCAAAATAACCTTTTAGAACATGACAAAATGCTACAGTATTTTTTATCAAGTGAAAATGAACCTGTTTTTCACCAGCCAGTAGTCTTGTCCATTTTCTGAGCCATATCCCACAACTAGAACCGCATGATTGATCAGTCCAGAGCTGCACTTCGGATCGCTGTAGATTCCTGAATACACACATTTATCATTTAGAATAAGCGTACGTGTGTGTATGGACTGAAAGCAGATAGACAGGTGTGTGTGATATATTTTATGTCTCACCGCCTCTGTATCTGTGGAAGGAAGCAAGTTTTGCGTTGACACCAACAGACACGGGTCCGATATTAGCAACGGCGTACTGCAGCGCCACCTCATTGTGACGCGGAAGAATCCGGAAACCTGAGCAATATCCAGCTCTTCCCGTCACAGAGTATCGACACACACCCTGCTGCAAAATTCATCACAACATTACAACAATATCACAACAACATCACAAAAATGTCACAACAATGTCATAACAATGTCACCATGTCACTACAGCACCACAACAACACCACTACAAGGCCACAACAACATCACTACACTGTCACAACAAGAACGTCACAACAACAGTGTCTCTACAACGTCACGACACCACTACAATGTCACACGACAATGCCACTACAATGTCACAACAATGCCACTACAGCGTCACTACAATGCAACGTCACTACAACATCACAACGCCACTACAATGTCATAAGTTAACATCACTACAATGTCACAAAAACACCACTACACTGTCACAACAGTGCCACTACAATGTCACTACGTAACAATAATGCCACTGCAATGTCACAAAAATGCCTCTACAACGCCACAACAATGCAACAATGTCACTACAACGCCACAACAACATCACTACAACACAACCATGTCACTACAGCCTAACAATGACACAACAGCGCCACCACTACAACGTCAACGTCACTACAATGTCAAGAAATGCCACTACAATGTTACAAAAACACCACTACAATGTCACAAATATGCCACTACAATGTAACTACAGTACAACAATGTCACAACAATGCTACTACAACATCACAACAATGTCACAACAATGCCACTACAACATCACAACAATGCCACTACAATGTCACTACAACATCACAACGTCAATACAATGTCACTACATCACAACAACGCCACTACAATGTCACAAAAATACCTCTACAATGCTACAATTCAACAATGTCACTACAACGCCACAACAACATCACTACAACACAACGATGTCACTATAACCTAACAATGACACAACAGCGCCACCACTACAATGTCAACATCACTAGAATGTCACAACAACGCCACTACAATGTCACAAAAATACCTCTACAATGCTACAATTCAACAATGTCACTACAACGCCACAACAACATCACTACAATGTCGCTACAACATCACAACAATGTCACTACAACATCACAACAACATCACTACAATGTCGCTACAACATCACAACAATGCCACAACAACATCACTACAACACAACGATGTCACTATAACCTAACAATGACACAACAGCGCCACCACTACAATGTCAACATCACTAGAATGTCACAACAACGCCACTACAATGTCACAACAACATTACTGTATTATGTAGATTTTTAAAAGTGTATTACATAGATTTTTTAAAAAGTATTTATTTTAATTTTACATTTTTATGATTTACTTATTTTTGGTAACTGTTGGTTTTTAAAATTATATACATATTTTTTTCAATTATTAGCTTTCCATCAATTTACCACCTCAGTTTGGGAATCCCTGATTTTTACTGTTTTATGACCATGAACACTGCTGTAGTGAAGCTAAAGGCTCATTGGGCGTTGTGTTAACATTCTGCAGTACCTTGTGTTCATACGGGTAGAAGGTGTTGGAGTCAATGCCGTTGTTCTGGATGATGTAGAGAAAAGCTCGGCTCAGATATCCGCCTCTGCAGCCGCGGTTCCCCAGACTCACACTGCAGTCCAGCAGGTTCTGCGGACTCAACGGAACCAGAGAACCGGTTCTCCTCTTCATCTGACCCTCCAGAGCACCGACGGCACTGAATGCCCAGCACGAGCCACACGGGCCCTGAAACCACACACATTATATAACATAAAAATATTAGATTTATATATTAAAATAAGCATACTATAACTAAATATAATTATTAATAATAATATAAAAAGATAAATATATTTATGCATAGAGACATGTGTGTATTATATTTATTATTATATATTATATTATTATATAATAATTATTTATAATATAATAAAAATGTAATGGCAAATATTATATTCATGACAATATGAATATTATAATTAAAATAATCATTAAAAATGATTTAAATTGTTTTTATAATAAATATAA